CAACCAGCACCAGCACCAGTACCAGCGGCAGGCGCAGCGGCAGCGGCAGCATCAGCACCAGCGCCAGCACCAGCACAATCGCCACCATCATCGCTGTCATCTCATCACCATCATGTTAATTTTCACCATGCCCCGTATTGCCATTCTCAGCATGATCATCCTACGCCCCCTCGTGTTCATATTTATCGTCATCGGCCGTAATGTTATCTGCACCACGCTTTCAGAGCTTGCCGGATGTCGTTGATTAGGCGGCCAGGAGCTTGCACGATCGCATCAGCACCAAGCCCACAAGTCAGGTCCAAACCCCGTAGCCGTAGATCATGTTTTGTCAGGTCAGCCAAGCGGCGGTTCTTGCGAGTCGCGGACGGCGACTTGTTGCTGCTGCCGCAGGACCGGCTTGGGCTCTTCCGGACCGTGTCGTAGCCTTGGGCCTCTGCTCATGTCATGTGTCGATACATTGGTGCACGAAAGATTGCCGAGGCAAGCACGCAAGACACTGCTGAAGTAAGACTCATTTCTGAAAGGGCTGACTGTGAGGTAGATGGCTGGAGTGTCTGGATATGTCTGGACATTCAGAGCCCTAAGCCTTGAGCTTTGGCCCTCTCCGCTTTGAGGAGGGCTCTTTGAGACTGCGAACTGAGCTGGGCCACTTCCAGGTACCTGGGCAGAATGGCGGGAGTGATAGGCAAGTTTTGGACTGCTCCGTTCTTGTGCTGATCGTTGCCTGGTCCCGGGTAGATGCCACGGCTTTGTCGGTAGTTTTTCTGATTTATACGGCTTTAGTTTTTCGGTTCGAGGCTTTTCTTGTTGCATTTTGCGGGTAGCATCGCAACATTCTTGACTTTGACATCTTTCTCGCCTAGCTTTCGCAGGGTTGCAGCTCTCTTCTGACCGTTCTCCCCCGCCACAATCAAACCGTTTCCCCGCTGCTCTTGCTTCAATATACAGATGCGGCACGGTCTAGGAGAAGTTCGGTCTACTTTGCATGCCCGGGTAGGCCGACCTGTTCTCTGCACTCAGCTCCAGCTTGCCTTGGAGCGCCTGACTCCTGAGTGGGAGCTTGTAGCCAATCTCCTGCTGACCCGCTTCCCCTCCCTAAATCTGCAGCGTGAGTGCACTCAATCGAGCTTCGGGCGCCCACTTCCTCCTCTGCGTCGGCCGAGGGCCACGCCTATGTTCCCTGAAGGTCGAGCCGGATGGGCCAGGAACATGCCAACAACCCGAATTCCCAGCCCAACTGCTCGGCCTTCTGTCCTGTCAAAATAAGGCTGGTGGTCTACGTCATTACGTCTACGTTCCCTGAAGGTCGAGTCGGATGGGCACCGAATGGAGTTGATTTGACTTCTGCTTGGGTTTTCCTCTGAACAAGGTGGCGCACCGTATGCTCTTCTTCACACCAAGCCCGCTTGGCAAACAACTCGTTGTTGGAGTTTCGAGCACCTGGCTCCTAGCTCCCGTGCCACCGCCCCACCCGCAAAGTCGAGCCAACACATCTAAGACGCAAGAAATGGAATGTAAACAATCAACCTTAGGTGGATCCTTGGGAGCTCGCTGTCGCCGGGCCCTTGTTCTAGCAGACATGGATTGGGTTTTGGAGTTGGGGGTGGTTTGACAGGGTTTGGGCACTTGTGCAAGATGCTGGGGCTCAGCATGGAGAGCAAGTCATTGGATGTGAAGCGACGGTATTCGATGGCTTGGGGTTCCGTGCTTTCTATTGCTCTCTAAAGTCGGCAGTCGTTAGCATTCACCGACCCAACCATTATTGTTGAGAGCCCTAAGCCTAAGCAAGGTGCCGCGAGGCCTCGCCTTTCAAGTCGACTTGGCGCCCGGGACGATGGCTGCACGGGGGCCTCTGCCCCAGCCTGTTGAAGGCATAAGTTCGAACTCAGGAATCCTAAGCCTCAAGACTTAAGAACTGGAGGTATGAGTTTTGATTCCAAAGGTTGTTTTTGTTTTTTTTGTAGGTGTTGTTAGTCTGTTCGCACGTGGGAGAGCGGCAACTTGACAACCTATCGAAGTTTTTATGTGGAAAAGATTACAAGTTGCAACGCCCTGCGAATAACCAGGTCGACTGAGTCAATTGCAACATGTGCACTCTGTGAGGAATTTATCCATGATCGCATCTGAAACGACGACGATGATGATGATGAGATG